AAATTTTAAAAGGCAAATGGGAAAACCCATAAAACAGCAAACGGCCTCATAATGCAAAACTATTTAAAATTAAAACGGAACACTAGAGTATATATATATATATATGATTATAATACGCTACAACTAACCATACAAGTTTGTCTCGGTTCTTTTTGTTACTGATTATCTTTTGAGTATAGTATGATACAACTTCCAAAGTGCTATATAAATTTAAAAAATAAAGAATAAACCATACTGGATTCTTTGGAGTTTGTATCATGCTACTGTTGTTAAATTACCTTTTCCCAACTCAAAAAATTACCTCTTTAATATATACATTTATTTATTTAATTATTTTAGAAGTATTCATTTTGAGAATTTTTATTGGCTAGCATGAACAAGCTTTAAAATGTTAACGCTGTGTTCAGGGGGGAGCACACGGTTCCTGCTGCCACGGTATGTAGTTCAATACACTTTTAAGCATATTTCTAAAACAATAGATTATGTGGACGTACCTTTTTGTTTGATAATTTATAACTTTATTCTAACTTCAGAGAAACGAAACGAAAAGTATGGTAAACTCAATTACCAAATACTTTTTTTTTTCATTAAAGAAATAAATACCTATGTATATAGTACATTATTGTTATATTATAATAATTCTATAAAGCAGATATGTAATTGTGGAAAGGTTTTACAAATAGTGTCAACAATCATAGTAATATTTTAACCTGCAGTGAAGCATATATTCAAAAGGGATTCTTATAAATATTTTAACTAATTTCTGACGTTACAAAAAAAAAAATCCAAATAGGAACGTATCACATTGATCTGTCTGTCACGGGTGTACGTTGAATGCTACAGTAGTGTTGTGTCGGCATCCCGTATATAGTGAAATATATTTCCACCAACAACTTCCAATGAAATCCCCAGTAGCCTAGTTTGTTAAGGCGTATGTATAGATAATAGAAGATCCCAGGTTTTAATCCCGGTGGGGAAATTTGTTTACACCCGTTTAGAGGAATATGCGAGTGGAAACAAATATCTCAAACAGCGACTCCAACCCGGTATCTTCTGACTCCAGAATGGAGTCGAAAAAAGGCCATGGCTAATCACAGAACATAATTAGATTTGTTCAGTCTGACTTCTTAGACCTTTTGCTTACAGTATTATTAATTACATACAGGTAATAATTTTGAAAGACATAATGTGGTTTGTCTAAGAATACGTATTATATTTATGATTATGTGTATTGTACTATTTTTTTTTCACCTGTGTCACTAAGTACTTTTATCTGTAGGCCTACCGGTAGAGCTTCTACCTTGATTTCGAGACTCTTGTGTGTCCCTCTGAGTAAATTTTCCAAATGCCCGTTCGTATGGGGCAGACTTTAGTGGATGACCTTTCCATAT